TGTGTGTGTGTGTGTGTGTGTGTGTGTGTGTGTGTGTGTGTGTATGTATATATATATGTATATATGTATCTGTATATATATATTTGGATATAGAGGTTTGACAGAGGGGCTGTGACTCTTTGGCTGAGAACCACTATTCTAAAGGAACAATAAGTACTCTTAATCACTGATCCATCTTTCTATCCACGCCCCCTCTCACCCTCCTACCCAGGACCAGATCTTAAAACAGCATGTCATTCTGGATATACCACTTACTCTCTGAACCAGGAAGCTCAAAGGTAGTCAGGGACAAAGATTTGGGGTGGGATGCTTATGGGAAGCAAGGGGGGGTGGTCACAGGGGACTCCCTGAAGGAGGGGACACTTGGCAAGAAGACAGAATGGGAGCAGGGATGGACAGCTAGGAGACGAGGGGAGAGGTGAGGCATGGACCCAGGAGGGAGAAGACAGAGGACCTGGAGCAGCCGGGTGTGTGGTAGGAAGGAGGGTGGGTCCCCACTGGGTGGACTGAGAGGACTGGCGTGGTTTTTCCTGGAATGGAGAAACAAGGAGAGGAAGAAGTTTGCAGAGGACATCTGGGCCATGGGTGAGGAGGTCAGGAGGTCAGGAGTGAGAAAAATCACAAGAGAGAGACAACTTGGAGTGGGGTGGTGTGCACACCTGTAATCCTAACATGTGGGAGGTAGAGGCAGGAGTATCAGAAGTTCAAAATCAGCCTCAGCTCCATACCCAGCATAAAGCTAGCCTGGATGAGATCCTGTCTCAAAAATAAATCTCAACCCCATAGACACCATCTAAAAAACAGAAGAAAGTCCAGTGTGGTGGTGCACGCCTTTAATCCCAGCACTCAGGAGGCAGAGGCAGGTGGAACTCTGTGAGTTTGAGGTCAGCCTGGGCTACAGAGCAAGTTCCTCCAGGAAAGCTGGGACTACAGAGAGAAACCCTGTCTCAAAAACAAAAACAAAACAAAACAAAAAGTTCCGGTGAGGTCAGTGTCACTAGCGCAACAGAGGTAGAAGCCAATGGTCACAGATCCACTTGGAAGAAGGGAGGACCTGGCAGAGCCAGACTCCAGTATCTTACTTCATTTATTGTTTGTTTGGACTTCGTGAGACTTTGTGAGTCTCCCTGGGTAACCCACGCTGGCTTCTAATGCTCAGTTCTTGTTCCTGAGGCTCCCAGGTGCTGGGGTGCAGGCTTAAGCCCCCACAGCCATGTTTTCTCTTATTGAATCTTTCTTTTTCCCTTTTTTAGTGTGCTGACCAGAAAATTCAAAACCATTTACCCGATTGCCTCATACTTCTGGGGTTGTCCCATACATATTTTCTTTTCTTTTTTTTTTTTTTTTGGTTTTTCAAGACAGGGTTTCTCTGTGTAGCTTTGTGCCTTTCCTCGAACTCTGTAGCCCAGGCTGGACTTGAACTCACAGAGATCCTCCTGCCTCTGCCTCCTGAGAGCTGGGATTAAAGGCGTGCGCCGCCGCCACCACCACCGCCCGGCTTTCCATACGTATTTTCTAGCCAACACATACACTCTCGTGCATGTGTTCTCTAAGCTGAGATTACACATTACAAAAGAGCACATTTGTGGCCAGTGATATAACTCAGCAGGGAAAGGTGCTTGCCGGCAAGCCTAATGACCCGAGTTCAATTCCCGGGACCCTCGTAATTGAAATGAGAGACCCTATTCCAACAAGTTGTTCCCCTGGCCTCCACACATACGCCATGGCATGTGCCCAGCACCATCCCCCATAAAATAAACAAATAAATGCTTTTTAAAAATTAAATAACACATTTTTGTACCTTTTTTCTTTAGATCTTTATCACGTAAGCCATGCACAGCTGTTTTTTACAAAGCTTGGATTCCACTGAATACCATTCATGAAGAGACAACGTTGTAGAAATGAAGGATGGGTTAGACACAGTGGCACAGGCCTAGAATCACAACACATGGGGGACAGAAGCGGGAGGATTGGGCCAAGGTCAAACAGGGCCACATGAGACCTTGTGTCAAAAAAAGAAAGAAAGAAAGAAAGAAAGGAAGGAAGGAAGGAAGGAAGGAAGGAAGGAAGGAAGGAAGGAAGAAAGAAAGAAAGAAAGAAAGAAAGAAAGAAAGAAAGAAAGAAAGAAAGAAAGAAAGAAAGAAATAGAAGATGTCGGACGGTGGCTGGTTGCCTAGAGTCTGGGGCGACACAGTGGCAGTTTGCTTGAGTGGCATTTGAGAGCCCTGGATTCCATTCCCAGTGCCATTAAAAAAAAAAAAACAGTAAGAATAAGAATAATGAATGACACAAAGTTCTCTTGTTCTTTGGTTACCCTGCCCCCAGAGGTCATCATTATTACATGTGCATCTGCCCAGGCAAGCCAGTGGACAGTACAGCAAAGGTCTCTCTTAGAAACGAAAGCCAAGTAATATATCTTAATGTGACGTTTCTCTTCAAAGGAATTTATGCCTATAATTGCTGTTGTTTGGTTTTGCTCTTTTTTTTTGGGGGGGGGCCTCACCAACTCCCAAATAAATCACACGACGGAGGCTTGTTCTTAATTATAAATGTCTGGCCTTAGCTTGGCTTGCTTCTTGTCAGTCTTCCTTAACTTAAATTATCCCATCTACCTTTTGCCTCTCGGCTTTTCCCGTTCTCTTACTTCTGTAAATCTTACTCCTTGGCCTGCTGTATAGCTGGATGGCTGGCCCCTGGAGTCCACCTCCTTCTCTGGATACTTCTTTTTGCATCCCAAATTTCTCCTTCTGTATATTCTCTCTGCCTGCCAGCCCTGCCTAGCCTTTCTCCTGCCTCGCTATTGGCCATTCAGTTCTTTATTAGACCATCAGGTGTTTTAGACAGGCACAGTAACACAGCTTCACAGAGTTAAACAAATGCAACATAAACAAAAGTCACACACTTCGCAATATTCTACAACATATAATCCCAGGGTTCAGGAAGAGAAAGGAGGAGGAGGAGGAAAAGGAAAAAGAGAAGGAGGAAGAAACAAGGAAGAGGAGGGCGGGAAAGGAGCCGCTGGGCCGGTGGCGGTATGTCCTCTACACGGCCTGACTCTTTAGGGTTGGGGTGTCCACCGTGGAACGAGTGAAAGACTTGCTGTCCCTGGCCACCGAGTCCTCAGAGAGCACATTCCGGATGATGCTGGGGAGTGACCTGCGAAGTCGCCCTTGGAAGCTCTGGCCGGCCACTACGTAGATGATGGGGTTCACACAGCAGTTGATGTAGGCCAGAGACACGCACAAGGAGTTCAGCCTCTGCACCTTCAAGAAGGTGGGCGAGGACTGGGGCAGCCAGCCCATCATGGCCCCTGTGACCTGGTAGGGCAACCAGAAGACAAAGAAACAGGTAACCACGGCCACCACCACCTTGAGCGTCTTGGTGGAGCGTGTGGCCCGGCGACTCCAGGTCCTCAGCAGGAGGAAGGTGTAGCAGAGGCTGAGCGTGAGCAGAGGCAACACAAAGCCCATGATCAGCCGCAGCATGGTCACAGCCCTCTCCTTGTGGATGCCACCCTTCCCATAGTTAATGCCACATGTCCGCTTCTTTGAGAGGAAATCTTCGTGAACCTGACGGAACAGGAAGGACGGGATGGTGAGAAGCAGTGCTAAGGTCCAGGCCGCTCCACAGGCCATCCACGCCAGGCGGGTCCCTCGGACCTTCTGACACCAAATGGGGTTGAATACCAGCAGGAAACGATCGGCGCTAATGGTGGCCAGCAGCAGGATGCTGGCGTACATGTTGAGCAGAATGAGTGAGGGTAGGATTACACAGGTCTGGTTGTTGAAGGGCCAGTTGTCATACTTTATAAGGGCCACGAATAGGACAGGCAGTGCCGCGCAGGAGAGGAGGTCGGCCACCGCCAGATTCAGAAACCAGATGGCATTGATGGTACGTCTGGCCTCAAATGCTGTCACCCACACCACCAGGGCGTTCCCGGGAACTCCCACCAGGAACACAGCCGAGTAGATGATCAGGGCTACAATATCCCCAGGATGCCACAGCTGAGGGGGACCACCATCCACAGGCACATCAAAGTTGATGTTCTCATCAGGGTAGTTATAATTGCTGTAGTCAATGGCGCTTTTGTTTGTGGGTTCCTAAGCAGAATCAAAGAGGTAGACAGTGTGTGAGTTGGCATACACATCCCCGGGGGACTGGGACCCTACCCCATCTTTCTGAGTCTCAGCTCTTCCGTGGAGATGCTGAAGGTCTACATAACCAGCCATTTGTAGTTTTTGTTTTGAGACAGGGTAAATTACCCAAGCTGGTCTTGAATGCAATCTGTAGCCTAGGCCAACGTGCAATCATGCCGTCCCTCTTACCTCAGCTGCCCAAGGGACGATAGTACAAGCAAGGCCCACCATACATGAACATCAACGCAGTATTGGGGGGTGGATGGAGCTGAGACAGGGTCTCACTCTGTAGCCCAGGCTGGCCTTGAACTCACAGAGATCGGCCTGCCTCCGCCTCCCCAGAGATAGGATTAAAGGCGTGCGCCTCTATGCCTCACCAATGAGATTTCTTTAAATTTATCATTGCCTATCTGTGTGTCCACATGCATGTTGCGGCACACACATGGAAGTCAGATGATAACTCTGTTGTCTCCCTCAACCTTTATGTAGGTTCTCGGGTAGAACTCAGGTCTCCAAGCTCCGGGGTGAGCATGTTCCCTGCTAAGCCATCTTACCATTGATGGGGTTTATTTTAACTGTGTGTGTGTGTGTGTGTGTGTGTGTGTGTATGTGTGTGTGTGTGTGTGAGTACAGGTGCCCTGGAAGGCCAGAAGAGAGCATTGGACCCCCATGGAGCTACAGGGGGTTGTGAACTACCCTACCTAGAAGCTAGGAACTGAATTCCAGTCCTCTGGCAACTACTCTTGACTGCTGAGACATCTCTCCAGCTCCTGGTGAAACGTTTTAAAGGATCAAAATGTGTGTGAGGATTGTCATGCGTACAAGCTCAGCACGAGCTATGTGGCCAGACACTATCCCTCCACACCACACACACACACACACACAATGATTTTGTTGTTGTTTCTTTATTGTTTAGTGTTTTTTTATTTATTATGTATACAGTGTTCTGTCTGCATGTAATGCCAGGAGAGGGCACCAGATCTCATTACAGATGGTTGTGAGCCACCATGTGGGTGCTGGGAATTGAACTCAGGACCTCTGGAAGAGCAGTCAGTGCTCTTAACCTCTGAGCCATCTCCCCAGCCCCTTGTTTAGTGTTTTGACAGACTATACACCAGGCTGGTCTCAAAACTCACACTATGTAGCTGAAGATGATTTCAAACTTTGGGATTGTCCTGCTTCCACCTCCCATAAACTGGGATTACAGGTGTGTGCCCTGAACTTGGAACAATATCCAAAGTTGAAATAAAGATAGGACAATGTCGTCTATTTCAAAACATGTCATTATTGGAAGTGAAGCTTCATTCTGTGGTTGGCATGCCCAGTGGGGTGGGTTCCCACAGGGTGACAGTGTTCACCAGAGTGACAATGTAACCATGATGTGTAAGGACATTGGGCAATGTGGGCCTTTGAAAACAGCGGTGGGTGTCTTGTGGCTTTGTGGCTTTCCTCTAAAACAGCAGTTCTGAACACGTGGGTCACTTCCGGGACTGAACGACCCTTACACAGGGGTTGCCTAGGACCATCAGAAGACACAGATATTTACATTACAACTCATAACAGTAGCAAAAATCACAGTTATGAAGTGGCAACGAAAATAATTTTATAGCTGGAGTCACCACAACATGAGGAACTGCATTAAAGGGTCACAGCATTAGGAAGGTTGAGAAGCCCTGCTTTAAAAGTTCTTTTATTAAACCAGGCTTGATGGCTCATGACATTCAGGAGCTGGAGGCAGGATGGGGGGGCAGTCAGTGCTAGCCTGCATGACATGAAACCCAAACTCAAAATTTAAAAAAAATGCTGGAGAGGAGGGAGCTTAGGAATGTGGATAGAGTGCTTACCTAGTATTCATGAAGCCCCGGGCTCCAAACCCAGCACAATACTGGCTTTGGAGTCACCCCCTGGAGTCCAGACCCACGCTGCCCTACCTGAAACACATGTCCCTCTGCAAATGTCTCCTGCTCTGAGCCTCCCTCTCATCCCTCCTTATCTCCTTGGAAGCCCAGCAATCCATCCATTTCCCAAACCTTCAAGCTTCGGAACTCAAGAGTCGGAAGCAGAGGCGGTGTTTGGGGCCAGCAGAAGGCAGAACAAGAAATAAGAATCAGGGGGCTGGAGAGATGGCTCAGCCATTAACACGAGCACTTGCTACTCTTGCGAAGGGCCCGAGTTGTTCAGTTTCCAGCACTGAGGTGGCAGCTCACAACTGTGCAGATCTCTGGTGCCAGAATCCAACATCTCTTGACCTTGGCAGGCTCCTGTGAACACGTGGTGCACATACAAGCACACATGCACACATACACACAAAACTGATAAACACGCTTTTAAAAAATAGAATTGTGAAGCCAGGCAGTGGTGGCGCACACCTTTAGTCCCAGTGCTCAGGAGGCAGAGGGAGGCAGATCTCTGTGAGTTCGAGGCCAGCCTGGGTTACCGAGTGAGTTCCAGGAAAGGTGCAAAGCTACACAGAGAA